TAAAATCCCAGGCTCTGCATTTTTATTGGAAACAAAGCCTTCCAGCACATCTAGTAATGGTCTGTTATGACTCAGAAGTTGTTATGACTTGGTAGCAGGAAAACGTTATCTACTTCAGTGTCCCTGTAATTGCATTGGTGATTAAATGCAGCATGTTAAACACTTCTTGGTCCCCTTTCAGCACAGCAATTACAGTGGGATCACAGTGTCACTACAGTACAAATGTATCTCAGCCCCTGAATGATACCTGTCCAACATTGTCAGGGGCCCTGTGTTTGAGAAAGATTAACATAGTATGAATAATGTCATTAAACAGTTAAAACCACAATGATGCTCAACACATACTATGCCATGCATTTTGCAACTTAGAACGACTATGCTCACGTTAAATCAATGCATTTTTACTACTGTAGTTAATGATCTGTCACCATTTCCATTAGAAAGCAATTTTCAAAGCCTTAGACCTCTGCTAAGAATTCACTGTGAGCTGAATCCTGGCACAGGGCAAAAGCAAAACCATAGCAGATATGTTTACTTTTGTCCAAATAAATTAGAAGGATTATTTATTATTAAAAGAAAATCAATCCAATTCTGTATTTCCCTGACACTCTTCATCATTCATTCAGAGCATCCAGTGCTTTACCTTGTACAAGAGGGAGGTTAATTAGGCTGTGTTAAGATCCTCAATTGTCCTTTGAAAGTTCTATAAATCCTGTACACTACTTTCTGAAAAATGTCATTTTACTTTTCTAAATCAGAAGTCACCTCACTGATTTCATATATGCTGTATATTCAATATTTATACATACTTTGTAATTTATAGTCTTGTTAAGGGAATATAGGCAAGTTTTTTGGGGCAGTTTAAACAATTATTCATATTTTTAAACTGAGGTAATTAAATTACTCTTCATAAATGATGCATGCCAAATTCCCTTCAAATAAAAGAGCAGAAGTGGAGCAGGCAAACACGGACCTACAGCGAACTTGGCAATGAGAAAGTCACATGCATTCAGAAACAGATATTTTTTAAAGTGAACTAAGATCTGAAATTAAATATTCCGCAAATGCACTCAAAATATACTTTATTATCTGTTCTATACCTATATGCTCAGGGTTAAGAACTTCAATTAGAAACGTGTTATCAGTAACATTTTTTATGATTACAGCTATTATAGGGAGATGTGCTTTAAAACCATCAGTATCTGGTGTTGGACTTTTCATTTTCATCACAAACAATTTAAATGTTGCTTATCATCTGCAGATTTTTGGAAGCTGCTGAAAATGATGCTTCAGTCATTGAGCCATACTTTTTTAACCCAATTTGAAATTAAATGGAGGGCAAACTTTATGAACTTTACAGTGTATTAGTGCAATGCCCTTCTGGCAGCCTTCCACACTCAAAATATATGCTGATGCGCTGATACCCCAGTGAAGTAGCTGGAACCTAGTTTATTATTTTTTCCAATAGGTACACTAAAGCATCCTTTTTAAACTCTGTGACTGGAAGACTTTTTGTTTTAAATACACAAAGACACTGAAATGCTCAGTTGACAATCAGTCCAGAAAAGAGCACAAACACATTAAGGGTAAGATAGGAAAATGTGGAAAATACACAGTGAAGTAGCCGAGCCTTGCAAAACATACAAAAACACTGATAAGAGTTTTCACTGAAATCCTTCTCCAACAATTCTTAAAATAAACTGCAAAAGAATCCAGTGCATTTAAATGAGCTAAGACAGGTTGAGAGAACTTTGATCTGATTCATCTGTCTTTCTAGCTGAACTTACAAGGTTGTTGTCCTCCAGTCAAAGCCAAATGGTTCATATTGCCATGAATACACAACTCTATGCTTTAAAAAAACAATCTCAGCAGCAAAAGCATATACCAAACATTCCTCTGATAACTCTTCAAAATCTTTTTCAAGAAGATGTATAGCTTACTATGTAAAGGACAGTTAAAAGTTTCGAATTCTAAGAGCTGAAGAAGCCTTTAGTGAGGTAGGAATAAAACTTGAAAGTTGTAATCTACCCACCTTCCACCAATTCCTCAAGGATATTATTTTACAGTATATTGCAGGTAATAGCTAACACTGCCCTATGACAACACAATCATCCTCCTGAGATTTACAATATGAGATATTGACTTTATCTTTTTCTTCAGATCAGACACCCCAATAAATGCTCTGCTGATAAGCATCACTCAAAAATCTATTCCATTTCTGTTATTCCTTTTACCACAGGATAAGTAAATAGATACTAAATAGTAAAACATTCTTAGGGGAAAAAAGCAGCTGGAAAAGAAACCTCAAGAAAGAAACCGTTTTGTCCCAGGACTTAAAGGTATGGGTAATTATATATCAAACCTTGCCAGGAAACCCTCCTAAAATACTTCCTGACCTGAGCTGCCAGATTTACCACAGAAAGTAGGAAAATGATTGATTCTTGCTGATTTTAAGCCCAGCATGTCTCTTCTGTACACAAATTCATAGTGAAGCATTTAATTTTTTTAATCAATGTTCTTTTTCTATGGCACAAGTACACTTAAGAATGCCTGCCATTATGATGACTTAGAATGGTTAGAACGTTTGAATTCCTGGTGCAGGGGGAGAGGGGAACAGCTTTGCAAAGTATTTCCAAGACTGCAGGGTTTATGTCAAGTAACCTTTAAAAGGACAAGGTATGTAAACTGGTTTTAAAATGCTGTTGTTGCATTAGTATTAACAAATCACACCAATAAATTCTGGTATAAATATTGTGCCATGTGTATTCTCCCAAAAGCTAGCAGAACATCAAAATTATAAAACAAAGTACTTTGTTGCAGAGCTCTACATTTTGTGTCTAACAAGTCAAACATTAATCAAGCTAATCAAGCAAAAAGGAGTTTCAAGTGTTGACCAATCCAAACATGGAGGGAGAAGGCGTTTGAAGGTGAATTATATGCAAGAGATCTGAGAGGATGAGTTAGAATCCCAATCATTATTTTGACTATTTATTACTATGAGTTAAAAACACTAGGAAGCTAGGTTCAGAAATAAAGCAGCCAAAACTAAGAAGTAAGAGTATCCCTTGGACAAAGCAAGAAAACATTACTATTCTGAGATGGGTAAGGAGCTATGTCCTATTTAGTAATGACAAGGTTGTCCAGCAGAATCTCTCACCTGCCTAGACAACCCCAAAAATCAGCAATGAGAGACATTTTGCGAATGAGAGACAAACTCCCTTTTATGGCTCTCTGTACTCCTTGGTTATTGAATCCTTCTGGAACTGCACACCATGACAGAATTGTGGCACTTCTTGAAAGGCATCTGAAGAATTTTGATAAGGTGTCTGCAATCCTATCTTATGACACTGTTCATAAACACATCTGAAAGAAGGTACCAGTACAGAAGTTAGCAGGCTGTTTTCCTCCTACCCATTTAAAACAAGTTTCAGTAGTCCCCAAAAGTTTGCCTGGATGTTCACCATGGGAAATTCACTTTCTTCCATCCTAGCCTGCCTTATACCAAATTGTACAGTCAAGAAGCAATGGGGCTCTTACTCTATAGTCACTGCTGCCTCTACACGTGACTGACTACACACAGACATTTTCAGTTCTCAGGTGTGAAAATGCAGCTGTGTCTCAAGATCCTATTTTAGAAAACAAGAGTACTTCACCTCCTCCTCAAGAATTTGAATTGTATTAAGATTATGCCTACACTAGGAGCTATCTACCAGTTAATTAAACAAAACATTCCTGGAAGCAGATCTATCTACACTGTTAGAAAACATTTCCACCCTGTTGTTACAATAGATAAATAAGACAAAGAAAGTAGGAAAAAATCCCACATAAAAAGTCACTTTTAAAATTGGAATGAACCGCCCAAGACTATCTTACTGCTAGCAAAAGCAGATTTACATGTTCCTCTTGGTCATCACAGAATTTTGATCAATTTCTAAATAGGTCTCAAGTGGATGCCTGTCCCTAATTTTTTATCTATCAGGTATGAGAGGCTCCCACCTCGAAAGAACCATTCCACAGTAAAGAAACAAAGTGTAACTCTCTTGCTATACTGCAGAAATGTTATGAACAAATGTTTTCAGCAACACATTACACAAAGTCTTGGCTCAGAACAACACTTTGGATGTTAAACCTTGTGAAGAGATATCCTCTCATAAGTACTTTGGAGTTTTCTAACAGTTCAGCATCATTCCAACCAATATGGCATTTCTAACCAGCATAAAACTACTTATAAATAATTACTTCACAATGTTTCTGTGTTAAACATTCAATTTCTAAAGCATCTGAAAAAGACTAAATAAAACAGGTAAAATTTAGAACAACCAAGAGTTCAGGAACAAACCAACACAAACATGTTTGGTAACATCACTTCAAAAAGCAAACAAACCCTCAAAAAAACCCCAAAACACTACAAGCAAGAATTAGTCTGATATTAACAAACACTTACACAAAGCAAGACATGAATCTGAACATAGAAAAAGGTGTGATTTTTTTTCTTTTCCACGTGTGTACCCAGGCACAAACACAGATAAAGAAATACAACAGCAGTTATACACTAACCACCATTAAACCAGTGAAAAATGACATTTGATAGGCTGAGACCTACAGCTCCACTGACAGCTCATATACAGCAGCATCCTCTTTTCAGCAGTGTTCAGCACAAAGTTGCTTTCTCAGGAGCTTCTAAGACACAGCAGATACTGGCCATGAAAAGTGTCTTCAGCCCCAAGATCCTTCACTTGCTTTACAGAGCAAAAGGGGTTTGCTCTACAAAACATCCCAAATCATTCAAAAACAAATCCAAAAGTGGGGGGTGTAGGAAATATGCACAGTTAACAAATCCAAAATGAAACAGAAGTGCTTGAGAGACTTCAGTATTTTTTTTAGGGGGAGTGGAACATTATTTTAGGTTTTTTGGTTGGTTGGTTTTGAGGTTTTCTCAAGCTATGATTAAAACATTATACATGGAAGATATTTTAATATCTGAAAATCTCAACTCCTACCTACATCTTCAACACAATTTCCAAGACCTGAGCTTGACCCCGGGAATGCTGCTCAATGCCATTCTTTTTTCCAAATAAGGGATTTTGCAAAGTTAATGAGTTAACAATGTTGTAGAGTTCAGTAACTGAACTGCAAATAAATGTGCTCTTTTGCTCAAATCCTTTGATTCATGTGCCCAGGAGGAACAGCTACCTTAACTCTACTTTATCTAGTTATGTTACCTGAAAACTCTTCACAATTTTACTTTGATTAGAAAAATGCTTAAAAAAAATTTAAGTGGGCTAAAAAACTACACACTAAAAACCAGATTGTAATAAACATCACAAGCTCAAATTACTCAAGCTATAATGTCTAGAACATGTGGTTTAAAAATAGGAAACTACTTTAAAATAATGTAATAATGCACCACAGCATCTATGTCTTGTATTTTCCAGCATTCTGAATGCAAATGCATGATCTTCAAGAGCAATTACAATAGAAACAGTACTCCAAGTTTTTTCAGAAGGAAAAAGCATCTTAAATACCACACTACAATTCTAGAGGGTGAAAAAAAGTTATCCGCTAAATGCAGATTTTAAACCTGACTTATCACTAATTCAATATGAAATACTAAAATATTATTAAACCTTCTCATTAACCACAGTCAGCTTATCAGTCTGGCTGCTGGCCTTTCTGTAATTGTAGCCACACAATTTGATTCTACTATAGAAGAATTAAGTTTATTATGTTACTGTAGTAAAGCTTTCTCAAAACACAGATGAATAGTACCCTATGCACACTTTTAGTAGACAGTATTCCAGTCTGCTATTTTCTTTTATCACGTTAATTCAAGTTAACATGCACATGACTCACTGAATAAAACTGACATATTACTAGTCTATATTTATTAATGTCTTCACAGACAAAATTTGAAACTCTTCAAACAAACACCTGATAAAAGAACTCGCTCTTATGGGAAAGCTTACTGCATAAACCTTTGCATGTTTAACTTTCTCTGTAAATAATGAAACAAAAGGAAACCATTAAATAAAAGTATTTTGAGTCTTAATATGTAAATGTTAATAATTATATGGATGCTTTTCCTTTTTCTTTTAAATAGACCAACATCTTTCCATTAGCTTTTGCAGCTATATGGTCACTACTACTGTCATGGCATTGATCAGGAAGTCAACAGCAAGAAGTATCTTCCATAAGAAATAGAATGAGCACAGCATACAAAAAACAACCCAGACAGCATCAGTGCTGAATTTGATCTATCAGACAAGTGTCACAATGTACTAATGGAACACTGGCATTTTTATGCTAGGTTATTCTGAGTTTCTTATTTTTGCGTCTTTCTATACCTTTTCAAAATATTACATAAAACTGCATTTCTGAAAATTCTAAATGGAAGCAACAGCATTTGTTTCCACATATTCAGATTTGGTAGTTAATATATCTATCCCACCAAAAAAGCAACTATTATTTAAAATATCCAAGTGCTGGGGATCTTGTCAGAGTCCTCAATTGTTTTCTTTCTGACTGTAACAAAGAACTGTTCTCTATGCATGTTCAACTGCAGCATGCCTGAAAATCAATCCCTTATATTCCACTATGAGCATCTGTACCCATAGAAGTGAAAAGAACAGATTCACAGATACATTTTAAGTATCTTTCTCCATACAGCTTGTCATCTCAGGCTTAAAGGACTCACTGTTTGAAACCTTAACTAACACTCATCACCATAAATGCTACTGCTGTTATCCCTGACACAGAACAAATTATTCCTTATGCTGTCAATCAGCACTGCTCACAATCTGTTATAACCATATTTGAATCACTTTCACATGGGCTAACTTCCAGCTACCACTCATCATACCTGGGGATTTGTTAAATCATTTCTAGCATTTGTTAAATGGGAACCAATGGCATGAAGATCAAACTCTGTTATTTACTTGATTACTACCTGAAAAGACAGTCAGATCTACAACAAAAATACTCTCTCATCAGAAGTTTAAGCTTTATTTTCTTAAAGATATTATGGTGAGCTGGGCACAAAAGAAATAATGCAGGTGTTGCGATATGAATGCAACTACAGCCAACTTCAAAAGTATCTTGCAAATATAATTCCTAAAATAATATATTTTCCTGAGAGATGTTTATGGCATGAGCGTGGCATGCATTAAATCAAAAGCATTTCTAAGAAAGACCAGCTGTGTCCCACACTGTTCACTAATACAGAAGGTTATTTATCAGTAAATATTCTACCTGTTTTTTTTGAGCACATCCTATGAAGAACTAGCAAATTATTCCAGTGTATCTAATTGACCTACTAAGGGAAAGTGAACTGGACTCCAAATCTCAGTTTAGTTCTTGGCTGGAGTTTAGTTCTTTTTAAAGTCTGGAGAATTTTTTAAAAAATTAAAATATTATATATGGCAATAAAAAAGCAGCAAAGGAAGTTGAGAAGAGACTGCTCATCTTTTATTAGATGGTGCTCACTTCCCCTTAGCCTTCACACTTAACCAAGGTCATACATTTAAATTCGCTGCTTGTTCAATAAAAAAATGTTAATGACTCAATATACTTTCAAATATACCATTGGTATAAAATCCATAGGTTGTACCCAGCACCCTTAAAGATTATGAAAAGTACCCACAGAGACAGGAGTTAACATAGTGCCTGTCTGCTGTGTTAACAAAATCTGTACTCTGGGTCTCTGCTAGTTTGCCCTGAACATTTCTAATTCTCTAGGTAGTCTAACATCTGTGAAACTTTTTACAACTCAAACTATCAGCACACATGGGTTTCTGCTGTTGTAAACACTGAATCTGCTGAACTACTAGAAACACTAAAAATAATTTAATGCATAAAGGAAATGCATTACAGAAGCAGGCTACCACACTCCAGTACCAATGGGTGAGTCACAGCAAGACTTGCAGCAAGTTGAAGAGATCTTCCCTCAGCTCTATAAAATCCAAGTTAAATACATAACCTTACACTTGCATTGCAAAACTCTAGTGAATGCCATCTGCAGTGGGCACTACTATATGATAATTTTGACTGCAAATGCCCATGTCTGCAAATAAATCTATAGGGAAGAAATACCACTCAACAAAATTAGCATTCAGTAATCAAATGCATTTATTTATGTAGTAGTCTTCTGTGTTATTAGAAGGGGAAATGCTGTATAAATACAGTATAAATACTGTATAAAATAAAACTGGATCAATATTACAACTTAGCATATTACAGGATTCAGTATCACATAAGCACAACAACCCAGAAAACTTGCTCAGTATAGAAAAGAGAATCAATTACACAAGCATCTATCTGTCTGCCTCCTTTTTACACTGTATTACAAGAATCTTGTTCTGTTGTTGTCAAGGCAGGACGGGAATGAAGAGAACTCTGATTCAGAAGGCTGTGAGAGTAAAACTCCGTTTATTCAAAATACACCGCTCTTTTATACAGAGTTCTGCAAGGACCAAATCCATTGGTTCTGAAGTGAAAACAACCCACCACCACTGGTGCAGAGTGCTTGACGCACAGTGATAGAACTTAACTATAAACAATGTGAAAAACAAGAGAGATAAAGAATTATTTACATTCTTTCCCAGCTCTTTCCCAGGCCTCTGCCAGGCTAGAAAACTCTAAGTTTCTTCCTTTCACTGAATCCGAGTCCCACACTGTTCTATGTTTTTCTGCTTTTCTTTTCGGCATAATAAAACTAGCAAATCAGAAAGTGAGAGAATCAATATATTGGAAGGTATTATTACCAAGGAAAGAATCTATTAAAACAAATATGAATATTTACTATATTTAAATAGAATGAGAGTCCTTCACAAAATGTTTGAGAAATGCCAAAGTGAATAAATCATAATTTTTACTCACTTCCTGCTCCCTCAGTGAAGGTTTGCAGGAACTCCCACTTCTGCTCTTGAGACTTTAGTAACTTCAGCAGAAGCAAAGAAGTAGTTTGACAGGCCCACTAGATCTACTGAATAATTTCAGTCTTTAAGTGTCTCTATAGAGGTTAAAACAACAGAATAAAAGCAAGTGAGACACTTTCTTTCAGTAGTCCCTTTTAAAAATGGTAAGTGGCTTAGTATTTTCAAATGGCTTTGGTTTCAGATTCCAGAATTTTATTCTCCTCCAAATTTCATTGGCAGGTCATCTGAGAACTGTAATTATTGGACATTCTAAACATAAATTTTGTGCATCACATAAGGAATTTTGTTTCCTTGTATCTTAAAGTTAAAAAAAAAAGTAACAGATCATCTTTGCTAGAGTCAGCTATGACATATTAAATGTTCTATTTAGAAAGAAAATACTAAAGTCCATGGCTTCAATGTAAATGAGATATATAGATATAGATAAATATATAAACACACATCACAGAACAGTCAGAGTTGGAAGGGAACCACAAGTCCAACTCTTAAAGTGAATGGCCCATACAGGGATTGAACTCACAATCCTAGCATTACTACCACCATGCTCCAACCAAGATAGAAATATACATCTATAGATAGACAGCCAGATAGATTATAAATTTGTATGTATATTTGTATTAGTATACTGTTAATGTCAGTTTATGGCTTGTGAAATGTGCTGTCTGGAAACCTGAAATCAACTATTAATCATAAGCTCAAGCAGTCAGCTCTTGGCTTTCATAATGTAAGAGTACAAAGCAATATAAAGATATATTGTTTATAAGTCATTTTCTCTAGACAACAATTTCCAAACACACATTAAACCTTTGCATTTGAAATAAAATGCCCTAAAATTATGAAACAATGTTCTTCCCTGTTACAATACTCACTTTAGGGGAAAAAAACAACAAAAAAAAAAGCCACCCAAAAAACCTCAATAAAAATCCACAAATCCTCCCATTTCCCCAGCTATCTTATGCTATTTTTGTTATTAAAGCTTATTTTAGCAAAGTGACCACACTTTCTTAAAGCTTCAAGATGCAGACAGAATTCTAGCTTGCATTTAACTACATCATCTTTCATAGTTTACCCCTCAGCTACCATCACTGTAAGTAATTTCAGAGGAATAAAAGTTATATTCAGTTTTATATTTTTGCAACTGTGCAAGAAAACCATAACTACACTGCAGATTTCATTCTTCCTTTATAACAACTATACTAAAACTGGTTACACTATGTGGGCAAAGTTTGTTCCTATAATACAGTGTGAACAATTCATCCCAGAGCACAGGGTCCAGAAGCCTCCTCAACAACAGTGACAAAATGGTCCAAAGGAAAAAAAGAGTTTTTTAACTACCTGCTTCTTACCTCTCAGCTGCCAATGGGACAGACTGTCATATCTGTCTCTCCTTGTTCTGCATTTTGTTCCCTAAAGGTAAGCATCTTATTTTGAATCATCACTTTCAGCTGGAATAGAAGTATTACATCTATGGTTTTAAAAAAAACTCCTGTGAATCGGAATACTCAGTTGAATACTCTGGTCTTCATTTTTCAGTGAAGTTCCCTGATGTACAAAGCAATACACTTAATACATCAGACCCAAAGGTTCTGAAAAATTTTATCTTACTATTGTACAAGCTGAAAGTGACTGCAGCTTACCTCTGGCATTTATAGCATAGTAAGAAAAAAAAGTTGTATGATTTTATAGAAGTGTCTCAAATAATTCAAAGGCTGCTTAGGGGAAGGCAAAGCATCTCCAAAAACATTAGCCTTCTCCATAAAAGCTGTTTTGTATGAAAGCTTTACATTCAGTTGATACCACATGTAATTACAAAAGCAGAATTTATATTGATGGAGTAATGTGGTTTTTTCCACTACTGACTCATTTTCCAAGTTACTGATGCTTTTGAAACTGCACTGAACCAAATATCACACCCTGGAATGTCAGAGCTCACAGCTTTGTCTGGACTCACAGACTATTTCTTACCCAGTGCAGGTATCCACATGTCACTGAAACTAGATAAGCTTTTTTGGATGCATTTATTATGGCAAACACTGTTGGTAAAGGCAAAAATATTCCAAATACCTTTTAAGCTCACAGGATCATACATACATACTTACTAATGACAGCTATTGTCCCTGTCTCTTTGCCCTGCTACCCCTCCTCCAAATTTAACAAGGAAGTATGGGATTCCTGCTGATTCAGGATACCCAAACTTAAGTATATTTTAAACGCCTTTTTTTTTCTGTAACCATCATCTAAATTATTCCCCTCACACTAGTCAATGTGTTCAGTAATCCTGTCTTGTAATCTCAAACAATTTATTTGAACACTCTGTTCAGGAAAAATCCTACTGCTACTAGTGTTGCCAGATTCCATGAGATACTCAAACATATTGCACAATGAGACAGCAGAGAAATTCATATATGAGTTAAAACACAACAGAATGGACCCACTACATTTATTCTTCCAAATTCTTCCCTCAAACTTGTAGATTGTTTTAAAGGCTGTAAACATACTCATGAAAAAAAT